GTGTGTGTGTGTGTGTGTGTGTGTGTGTGTGTGTGTGTGTGTGTGTGTGTGTGTGTGAGAGAGACCATTGAATGAACGGGAATAACAGGAACAACTAAACCCAACATCCTTTTAAATCATTACATGGGATTCAATCAGAATGAATTCCTACCCATCATGCTCAGGGGAATTAAAGATGGCCGCTCGCTGTGTTCCCAGTGGAAACCCCAGTAAAGTTTAGATCCTCCAGAGTCGACAAAAACCTGCAGGTTCGTTTCATCTGTTGTTAATCACATCAGAGGATTCACTGCAGCAGGAAATGAATTCCTTCACAATAAACCTTCCTGTTATTATAAATCTGATATGAAGAGAGAACGTAGCTGAAGAAAACATGAAGGTTAGTTTCTGTGTACTGTAGCTGTGTCACGCTGAGTCGTCCCCTCAGTGGCAGATCATGCAGACGTCTCGCTCTCACCTCGCCGCTCCTCTCTCTCTCTCTCTCCCTCTCTCTCTCTCTCTCTCTCTCTCTCTGGTGTTTGTAGGTCAGCGAGGAGGGAGAGATTTATTCTCATTTCATCTCCTCTGCTTCATCTCTTGACCCGTTTCTGCACAAGAGGTAATGAAGAACCAAAACTTTTTTACATTTTTAAAACCACAAATAAAAAAGTGATCAACAGGCCTGAGTAACTCCGGAGGAGCTGCAGGAAACCATGGTTCAGGTGGAAAGTCTGCTGAAAGGAAAAACACTCCACAAGTCTGAGCCTTAAGGAACAGCAACATCACGAGAAAATCCTCAACAGGTTCGGTTTAAAGTTTGGAGCAAACCACGAAATGTGTGGAAGAGACAGAAATGTTTCGGAGAAGCAGCGAACCAGCAGCTGAGAGTCTTTCCAGCAGGAACAGGAAGCAGAAACAGGAGCTACTTCCTGCGGGAACAGGAGATGAACCAAGAGTTCAACTCTGGAGAAGAGTTGAAGGTTCAGCAGGATGACGAGCCTGAACATCAGACAGAGATATTATGGGATGCTTTGGATCCGTTAATAGAGGAGCCATGTTGGGACGACTTCCTGGAGGCGGAGCTTCAGGAACAGCAGGAGCTTTTAATAAAAGCAACATTTTATTTGCAAAAACAAAAACATGCAAAATTTTAATACTTTATATCACATAAAATGTCAATAAAATGAGAAAATATTAATCATTTTAGAATTAATCTTGGCACACTTACTTTAATTAGGCCTTTTAGCTGTAAACCGGAAACAGCCCATATAAGGAGCCATGGGGGAACCTATAGACGTCCAGCTATAGGAGAGCAGGCAGCAGCCATACCTGCAGCCGCTGGCAGACAGCTGGATTATTTCATCTGGATTATCCTGCAGCGTCACACATCTGGTAGTCTGGGAGGCGGCGCAGCTCAGAGGGAGGGAGAGGGAGAGATATTTTCCTCCGCTCTGCAGTCCAGAACCTCTCAGATGGAACCGGAACCAACAGCAGAACCGACCCAGAGCCGCAGCTTCAGGCTCGGTGAGTCAAACGTCTTTATTCCTCCTTATTAAAAGCTTTGTTTTTTAAAATGAATTAATATTATTATTATTATGTTATTATGTGTGGAGGTTTCTATCTTTGCAGAGCTGAACTTTTCATTCCTACTTCTGCTCTCTGCGAATAAGTCATAAATTATTACTTTCATTAACTAATTAACATATAAGGTAAATACATGAATGATGTCTGAAAGGTCAATTTAGTATCACTTCAATAATGAAAATATTATTTTATGTACAACTGGGCTGCACAGCAGTGCAGCAGGTAGAGCTGCTGCCTTGCAGCAGAAGGTTCTGGTTCGATTCCCGGGTCTTTCTGCATGGAGTCTGCATGTTCTCCCTGTGCATGGTGGGTTCTCTCCAGCTTCAGTCCAGAAACACGACTGTCAGGTTAATTGGTCTCTAAATTCTCCCTGGTGTGACTGTGTGTGTGGTTGTTTGTCCTGTGTGTCTCTGTGTTGCCCTGAGACAGACTGGTGACCCGTCCAGGTGACCCGTCCAGGTGACCCGACTGGTGACCCGTCCAGGTGACCCGTCCAGGTGACCCGTCTCTCACCTGAAACGTTCGCTGGAGGCAGCAGCTCCTGACCCCTTAGGTGGATGGATGGATTTTATGTACAAAAAGCCGAATTATTTTGCAGTACCACCAGTAGGGGGCGCTAGCGCTGACAGTTTGTGTTCTGGTCTGAAGTGGACTTTCTGTTTTAACTCATAATTTATTACATTATGAAATAATGAAGTCAAAAACAATTTTACAGGATTTTATGTTGGATGTTTAAATATGGAATTCATAATTATTTTATTGTTTAAATATTCAGTTGATTTAATTATTGATTGTTTAGATTTATTTAAATTATAATAAACATTATGAAGTCACTTAATCAGTTTATGCATTAGTTTTTTCTTGTTTAAAATAATTTTATAATTATTGATTTATTTCACTGGTTGATGTTTCAGAAAAACATCATTTTCTCCTCAGCAGGTTTGATCGTTATTCGCATTGTGGGAAATTTCTCATAAGAATTTAGATTTTTAATAAAATCATTAAATTCCAGTTAATGAAGACTAAATTGTCAGGATTGTTGTGTTTACGGTTTTCTATTTTGATGAGAACCATCAATAAATATCAGCAAATTCAAAAATGTGCTGAAATATAATTACCGTCTGCAGTTTAGTGACAAAGGTGAGGCTGCCCTGAAGAAGCCTGATTATAAAGTGAAATATTAGACATGCAGCCACACTGAAAACACGACGATGACATTTAGACTTCACGTTCTGCAGCTTCAGCAGCTGAGCTTCGATGGTCAGCATGTTTTTAATTATTGTTATTTTATGAACACAGAACTAAAAACAGCTGAATAGCAGTTTATTGTTCCACAAATTATCAGATTATCAGATTATCTGCTTCTGGTAAATTTATCTCCAAACTGCCATAAATATTGACAGAAACAGAACATTTTAATCTGACAGTTTTATTGAATTTATTGTTCCTGATGAAGTGAGGTGATGAATCTGACATGAGCAGAAATTTTCCAGGGTGATTAACCAGAACCAATAATCAGATTAGAGATTAATAAACCGACAGATTAACTCCTAATTCTGTCAGCTGGACTTTTTCTACATTAAGCCTTCGTCCTTCGTCTAGACCGATTATCCCTGCAGGGGCCAGTCAGAACCCAGTCAGAACCCAGCCAGAACCCAGTCGGAACCCAGTCGGAACCCAGTCAGAACCCAGTCGGAACCCAGTCGGAACCCAGTCGGAACCCAGTCGGAACCCAGT